CCGCCCCCCGCCGCTCTAATTCGCCGACCGCCGCCGCAGTATGGACAAAATTCATTCATTATGCATCTCCACCTGGCGATGCCTTTACGAGGCCGTGGAGATGGCACAAAAGACTTGCGGCAGATTGAGGCAGAGCGATGCCTGCGGCGAGGAAGAGGCGTCGGAAATGGCGAGAGGCGAGAAAGAAAGCAAGAGAAGGAGACGGTTTGACTGGCAGCTAACAGTGGAGGTCGGAAGGCGATGAAAAAAATAATATAAAGGTCTATGGAACGCGGAAAGGCAGGACTAAATAAGTCGATGGAAAGAAACAAACTTTGAAAATGTGAAAAATGAATGCTGATAAATAGGGAAGGTGAATGAAGTTAAGAAGAAGACATGAGAAATATAGAATGTGATAAAGCGAACGTAAATCTAGAATAGCAAAAGACGCAATTCAATGAAGAACAAGAGGACATTAAAAGTAGTGATTTACTCGAAGTTCAAAGGTGCGATATTTGGATAGAAAAGGAGTTGAAATGAGTGCTTTGAAAGAAGAAACTGGAAGTAAACTCTAAGGAAGAGATAATGGACATATGTAATTCGAAAGACGAAAAGGGAAAGTTGGAGAAAGCATGGATTATGAACTAGAAACACACAGGCGGAGTAGAATTCTCGCAGAATGATGGAACAGCTAAGAACGTGGTGAAGTCAAAGAATAAGAGAAAAAAACACTAGTACCGAAACTAATCTCGTAGTTGGTAAAAAAGAACTAAGATTGCAGCTCCAAAACGCGAAAAAAAAACACACAAATCCTGCGGGGCAAAGAAGCGAAAATCCAACCGCAAGCTAAAGAAGACCCACAGCATATGGACAGATAAGAAATCAGAAAACTCAATGGTAATTCAAGAATTTAACTACTAGTTTCAATAACAATGCCAAAGATGGAGAAACACACCAAGAAAATACTTCAGAAACGCGAGAAAAAAAAAAAAAAGAACGCCGAACCGACCGGGCGAAGAAGCGAAGCAGCAACCGACAGCTAAACAAGATATAAACGCGGTAAAACGGACGGCGGCGGCGGAGGCGGCGGCCTCGCCGAAGACAAGTGAGAAGCGGAAGGCGTCGGCAGCTACCGCACCGCGCAGCCCACACATGAATTCCTGAGTGCGCTGCCTTCGCTCCAGCTCCGCCGCCGCCGCCGCCGCCTTCACGTGTCGGCCATTATGGGCCCTGTACAGGCGCGCTTTATTTCGTCACTGGCGGAGGCCGCCGAAACGGCCCTCTCCGAGCCGCCCGCCCCACCCCACGCGGTGCTCCTAAAATATTGAAATAGTCAACGCTACCGTTTCGCAAGAGTCACGCAAGTATTATTTTGATGTCACTATACACACGCTGACACTTATATGGCTTTACGGTCAGCGCATTCTTGGAAGCGTAGCCCCTCGCGCCGTCTTTCTACTGAATTAAACAAACAACCGACCTTGTAAATTGTTCCTTTCGGAGGGAGGAGAGAGAGGGGGGAAAGGGGTGGAAAAGAAAGACGGTTCCGCAATCGAGGACAATGGGGCTGTAAAATCGAGTGCGAGCCGCATGGCGCCCGGAAAACGTTCTGGAAAATTCTCCGCAAATTATAAACGTCTCGAAATTGCACCATTGCATCTCCATCCGAAGCCCCGGGACGGACGAAACTTTTACGTCGCCCCAATAAAGTCGTGAGGGTTGTATTCACATTACCACGGCCCTCCGCTTGAACATACTGGTCTTGCATAATGTTGTGGGCGATGTCTGCATGATTGTATCTCCCACTGGATCTTCCAATTGCTTTATTCTAGAGTGGTTTCATGCTTTCTGCAGTGGTTTCTTGTACGTTACTCTGAATGGTCCGGATAAATTAATTTGATGACCAATAATGTGTTCTAATGTAATGAAATTTTTAGAGGAATGGAGCCAAGATTACAATCAACGTTGGTTATAGAGCACCTAATTCGTTAAACTCATAAAATCTTCAAACCTAGGTGAAAGTATATGACAGATCACAAAACGTCTCGAAATATTACTAAATACATGAGACGAAGTCCCTCGAGTAAAAATCATTTTCAGTATATAACATTACTGAAATATTTACTAAAATCTATTATGTATGATTGGGTACGCAGTCTAAGATGTTCTTCAAAAAAAGTATTTTAGGAATTAAAAATTCTAACACTAGTAGTTACTCATACATATTTTGTTTTCCGTCAACAAATCAAAATTCCATGATACAGAATATTTCAGTAATTTTGAAATAATAATCCGAAGGAAATGGGAATGTCAAAAAATACCTTTTTCATTTTCCTGTAATCACATTCGGTAGTAATGAAAAGTACTTAATTCTTCACACTTACTAACAACGCTTCTATAAATATTGAGTATAAAATGATAGAATACCCTAAACTACTAATGTTAAAACGTAACCACTTCTTGAAATGATGATCCAGCTCAGGAAGAGTAATTGAAGTTTTAAACTGTGTCATTGCTTCTCTACCATATCCAACATTTTCCGTCTTTAAAGTGTAGGAACTCGGCAGAAATGAGAAGCTTAGGATATCGAAATGAGAAGCATTTCAGGCCGTGGATGCATATCTCCATTTCGAAAGCTTATATGCGAAAGAGCCCATTGTCCGGCATCTTCGATGACGCCATTGCATTTTCACACCCACCCTGTTCAATTGT